GTTTGGAAGTCTGGAGTTGGAAGAGGAAGTGGTCTGCTCTGGACTTTCCCTGGCTGACCCTGCCATGTGCAGGTCCCTGTGGAGCCAGGGTGGGGACGAGCAGGAGGGGCAGCGGCTTCCATGGCTATCCTGGGCTCCGTGCGTGGCTGAAGGCTTGGGTGCTGCTTCTCCCCCATGGACCCACTGTCCATCCATCTTTTGTCCCAGTCCTCCCTGTACCCCAGGGCCCAGCTCAGACAACAGCAAGGGTTTCACTTACCAAGCACTTACTGTGCCAGGAACCACTCTAAGCCAGAGAATGCAACTTTCTCCCTCATTTCACTCACAACCTGTGCTGTAGAGGCCGTCCTTATCCCTGTTATGTGGATGAGAAAATCAAGGTACAGAGAGGTTAGGTGAGTTGTCCAGGGTCACACAGTTCACAAGTGGTGCAGGGCATTCTGCTGCTCCTCCGGTAGCCTTCCTTCTTCAGCCTTCCTCTGTGACCTCAGACAACTAACTCTCCCGGGTGCCAGGGCTCCCTCCCAGGTAGCACGTACTTCAGTGTTGGGATCCCTGGCACAGACTTTTGCATCTACCATGCCTGGCTCAGGGCCTGGCCAGGGGTGGCCTGAGTCTGTGGCTGAATGGAGGGAGCCTGTGAATGATCCAGCAAATGGTCAGTGAAGGAGGAAGAAGAATGGCATCCAGCTTTGCCTAGGAGGACCTCAGAGCCTGGTGGGAGTGTGCAGTAAGGGCCAGGGCTGGAGTGGACAGGGCAGACCCAGAGGCCTGGGGAGCAGCCATCCTTCAGCCACACGGATGCCACCACGTGCCAGCATTGGCCAGGTACCTTGAGGGACAGCTGTGAAAAGCGCCCATCTTTGGGGAGCTTCTAGGCCAGGCGGGAAAATGGGATTAACACGCAGGAAGCACCCGGGGAATTGTCACAGAGCAGAGGCTACTCCTGCCTGCGGGGCCAGGGGGGTTCGGCTGGAGAAGGGAGAGCGGCCTTCCTGGGGGAGCAGGAGAGGCTGTCGCTGACCTGGGAGGACTGAGGGGGAGGCTGAGAGAGACAGTGAGCCGGGCGCGGTGGCACAGGCCTGGAATCCTGGAGGCTCGGGAGGCTGAGGCAGGAGGATCACAAGTTCAAAGCCAGCCTCAGCAACTCAGCAAGGCGCTGAGCAACTCAGTGAGAGCCTGTCTAATAAAATACAAAATAGGGCTGGGGAGGGGGCTCAGTGGCTAAGGGTCCCTGAGTTCAATCCCAGGACTCCCCTTCGCCAAAAAAAAATGGACACTGGACGCTGAAAGACCAGAGGCAGGACCGAGCGTGGGATTTGGGAACTGAGGAAACAAGGGTGAGGTCTTGGGGTGCCTGCAGAGGGGAGGCATACGGGTGACAGAGGCCTCCACTTGAGGCCAGCCTCGGGTGCCGTCGGAGCCACCACTGACACAGGCGTCTCTAACTCGAGTAAGCCCTGAGAATGCTGATTTCTAGAACTGAGTCGTGGTTTTGCTGTATTCATCATTTAAAAAGCACATCACATCGTTGCCAAAACCGAAAATTGGGCTGGAATGAAATTGTCCATAAAAATGGACAAGGGCAAGAAAGCGAGGTGGGAGTCCCCGCGACGGCGCTCCCTTTGGGACGCTCCCCTCTGTTGGGAAGGAGCACAGCGCTGGGTGTTGAGGACACGCTGCCATCAACCGGGACCTTCTCCTTGCCTCAGGGGGCAGGAAGGCCACAGGAGGCCGGCGTCCCCCTGCGCTGGTCTGTGCCATCTGCCCCTGGACGGGACCTCCTGCACCCTGGCTGTTCTGGGTCCCCAGAGGCAGTGTCCTTATGGCTCCAGGTTCCTGCCACAGGGACAGGAGCCCAGCCCCGACACTGCCTCTGCTGGCCTGGCCCGGGCACAGCATCCTTCTCTCTCTCGCAGGGAACACCAACAGCATCTTCGCCCTGGACTACATCAGCGGGGCGCTGACCTTGAACGGCCTGCTGGACCGCGAGAACCCCCTGTACAGCCACGGCTTCCTCCTGACCGTGAAGGTGAGACCCGCGGTGGGACGTGCACCAGGTGGACAGCTGCCCAGGCTGGGAAGCCAGCCTCCAGCAGGGCCAGGGGCTGCGGCCTCAGACGGAGGCCCCAGAGTTCAGCATTCCTGTCCTCTCCAGGGCACTGACCCCGGTCAACCCCACGGGCCACCAGGAGGGGATCACGGGTGCCTGGGCAGGTCTGCGGGGCACTTCACAGCCCTCGTCCACGCCTGCACTGGCCGGGAACTTTATCCTCACCTTAGTGACAAGGGGGACTTCTAGGTGCTTATCTTGAGCTCGGCCTCCTGCCAAGGTTTCGAATCGCAGTTGTAGACACCTGAATTCTTGAGTTCGCTCCGTTTTGGGGGGTTTTGTCCCATTTTCTAAGTTTTACCCTTTCCTGGGTTAGAAAATGGAGCACATTGGGGAGGGGACAGAGCCGCTGGGGTCCCTGCCCTGGAAAGCGTCGTGAAGCTGCAGCCCCTCCCCCACCCCACCCGGTCACCTGCCACTGGTGGCACTTTAATGAACATCAATGACTTGCTGAGCACCCCTAGGAGGCCCATTTAGGGTTATGGATCCTGCCTGGGCCACAGGGGACCTCCCCAGCCCTGACTATCAATTAATAGGAGGGGGTGGTCCAAGGACTGGGGCTGGGGACCTGGGAAGGAGGCCCCCATCCGTGCTGGAGGACAGGACGGCCAGCCCACCCTGCACCCTCCCTTGAGCTCGACCGCTGAGCCATGCCGGTCCACCAGCCCTGGCTTTCCCACGGCCCCGCGCTCTCGCCCCAGATGCTCAGGTGTTAGCCAGGGTGGGGGTGCCGCACCCCAGCACAGAGCCCGGCCCCTCCCTGGCCTCCCTGCCTGTCCTGCACCCCTCCGGCTGAGGCCAGGGGTCAGCTCCCAAGGAAGAGGGCTGCTGCCTAGTCCCTGCACCGCCTCCAGCTCCCTGGAACCCCGCACTGTCTTCTCATCTTCTACAAAATGTGGGCATGGGACCCCCAAACTGGTGGTGCATCCAGTCCCCCTGGGGAACCTTGTGAATCTGTCCATCTGTTTCTGAGTCCAGACCTCACCCTGAAACTGGCAGCGTTCCGTCCACAGCGATCAGCCTTTAGCACAGAAATTCCTGGCCTCAGTTTTATTATCTGCCAAGTTGAATAGAATCTCCATCCACCCTTGAATGAACCCCAAATCTGTCCCTTCCTTCCTGTCCACCTCATCTCCATGTCAGTTCTAGAATCCTATTGCCTGAGTTTGAACTGCAAAGCTGCGCATCCTCGTACAAGTTCCTTAACCTCTCTGAGCCTCATGTCCTTCTCAGTGACACGAGGATACTAAAGGTAGAATTTTCTTCCTGGGGCTGTAGTGAGGATTCGGTGAGATGGTTCATATTAAATCAGTGTCTAAATTTGAGAAAGTCCTTGGTAAACAGTAGCTAATATTGGGATTGTGGCCTTCTTTACACCTGGTGGATGGTATTCTGTCTTCAGGGCACAGAACTGAATGATGACCGCACCCCATCTGATGCCACTGTCACCACAACCTTCAACATCCTGGTCATCGACATCAATGACAATGCCCCAGAATTCAACAGTTCCGAGTACAGCGTGGCCATCACCGAGCTGGCTCAGGTTGGCTTTGCCCTCCCCCTCTTCATCCAGGTCGTGGACAAGGATGAGGTGAGTCCCTGGAACCCAGGACCCGTCCAGGGTTATTGTCCTGCCTGCGCTGTGCACCCTTGACAGGGAGACCAGGTGTTTCTGGGCTTCCAGGTCCTCGGTTATGAGATAGAAACAAACACAGGTGTTGATAAATAGGGCTGCAAAAAATTGAAAGTCTCTAAACTGTTACACATGCCATCTCTACCCTGTAAAAACATCCAAGCACACACTCCAATAGGTGGCATTTTATTTAGAGTTTATATACATGGTCACTGTACTAATCTCATAGGTATGTGATAAAGTATGCACTAAAATTGCCATCTTAAGGTGGGTGTGGTGGCACACAGCTGTAATTCCAGTGTCTCGGGAGGCTGAGGCAGGAGGATTGCAAGTTGGAGACCAGCAGGAGGATTGCAAGTTGGAGACCAGCCTCAGCATCTCAGGTCCTAAGCAACTTAACCAGACCCTGTCTCTAAATAAAAAGAGGGCTGTTGCTGAGCATGTGGCTCGGTGGTAGAGCACCCCTGGGTTCAAATAGCAATTTTTGAAAGTAGAAATAAAGCACCAGTGGACTTTCTCTCACCTGAGGGTAGTCTCTGCCGTGTGTAGGAGGTACATGGCCAGTTTAGAGGCCCATACAAATGACCCTTGGCAGAAAGTCTGACTCCTGCTTTTGGTGTAGTAATGCCCCCCTCCATGTGAAGAGCTTGCTCAGGGGACACAGGTGCTTTCAAGAGGATCCCCAGCCATCAGGGGTCCAGGAGGTCTGTGCCACCTTGTTCAATGAGGCCTGCCCTGGGACGTAGGCGGAGCTGCGGAGAGACCGCGGCTGGGGCAGGGGCCTCCCTCACCAGCCCCGCTCCCCCTGCAGTGCTGGCCGAGGGCCAGGCCGGCGTGGAATGGTTTGTCCCTTTAGACCCTCTCAGCCTGCATCTCCCCCGCCTGGTGCCCTGCCTCCCTGGCCCTCTGCAGGGGCCACATTGGCCGCACTCTGTCCTGTCCCCCTGCCCTGCTCAGGACTCCGTCAGGCACTCCAGCCTGCGCACCTCCTTCACCTGTCCCATGAGGGCTCCCGTGCTGTCTTTGTCCCAGGCCGGCTTCTTCCTAAGGAGCCCCTCCACTCTGGCTGCCCAGCAAACGCCACGGGGCCACCCCAGGAGCCCGCCGCCATCACCCCTCCCCCTCCCCAGCCCGCTGTGCCCACTGGACTCGCCCCGCCAGGACTGGACCCATGGCCCAGCCAGTCCCGCCTGTTCACACGGGCACACGCACCTCCGGCTCCCGGCTGAGCATAGCATCTGCCACACAGAAACCCCACCCACTGTCATTGTCCCGTGCCTGTCTGAGATGACTTAAGATGTATTGAGCACCTACTGTTTACTAGGAACTAGGTTTGTCCCCTCGGGGTCAAGCATGACCACGGGCCTGTCCAAATGTACCACTTTTAAAAGTAGGGATAAACAGGTATAAAATAAATTCCAATATTTTCTCAAACCCCATTCAGTCATCTTGTCCCTCTCTGGAGTATAGCCAGGCACATCCCTGTCAGAGACGACTCTGAAGCCGGGCGTGATGATGGCACATACCTGTAATCCCTGCGGCTCAGGAGGCTGAGGCAGGAGGATGGCAAGTTCAAAGCCAGCCTCAGAAACTCAGTGAGGCCCTAAGCAACTTAGTGAGACTCTGTCTCTTTTTTTTTTTTTTTTTTTTTTAAATTTTATTTTTTTTTTTTTTTTTTTTTTAGAATTTTAATATTTATTTCTTGGTTTTTCAGCAGACATAACATTTGTTTGTACGTGGTGCTGAGGATCGAACCCGGGCCGCATGCATGCCAGGCGATCGCGCTACCGCTTGAGCCACATCCCCAGCCCAAGAGACTCTGTCTCTAAATAAAATATTTTAAAAGGGGCTGGGGATGTAGCTTAGTGGTTGAGTGCCCCTGGGTTCATTCCCTGGTACCAAAAAACAATAAAATTGTTTTTTTAAAAAATAGAGGCTACTCTGAATGAGAACCTCAGAAGAAAGCCTCCTCCTTTCTTGCAGAGGTACAGTCACGCCAGGGAGAGGAGACACGCCAGTCCTAGTGTGGGGTCCCGGGTCCTGACTGCAGGGGGCTGCGAGGATCAAAAAAGGCTTTTAGCAGGAGGGACCTGGGGCTGAGCCCTGGGCAGGCAGGATGGCTGGCCTGCCAGGATGGTGGCCCCCACCGGCCCAGAGGCAGAAACCTGCAATAGGACACAGGAATAGTGACCCCTGCTAACAGCGTTGGGCTGCGGGGAGGTGGGCAGATGTGAGGAACCCAGGCCGGGGACTTGGACTTGACCTTGTCAGGAACCCAGGAGGCAGGGGGGACAAGCTCTGGAAGCGCACAGCGCCTCTCTGTCAGTCCAGACTTGCCATTTACTGGCCCTGACTCCGGGTAAATTAATGGCCCTTCCTGAGCCTCAGTCCACTCATCTGTTCAAAAAGAAATAAGAGAGCGAGTGTAGCTGTCAGTTCGTATTGCAGTAACAAGCTGACCCAACGCACACGCTCATTTCTCACTTGGCCTCCGTGTCTGGCCCAGGTCTGCAGGGAGGCCACTCCGGGAGGTCACTCACCTGCAGTCTGCGGTTTCGAAGGTGCTGCCGTGTGTTTGGGTGGGGTGGGGTCGGGCGACAGAGGCTAAGCACAGCTCTGCCCCATCTCAGAGTGGCCCCAACTTCCACCCAGTGGTCAGAGCTGGCTCCGTGTCCCAGCCTCACTGCCAGAGGCTGGGTGTGGGGAGGTGACTACGTCTTGGTCTCTGCTGCCAGGGAAGCTGAGAGGGGACAGAAAGGTGGGCAGGGCTTAGCGTCGCCACTGCCACACAGAAACCCCACCCAGTCATTGTCCCCAGACCTGCAGCTCCCCAACCCCGACCTGGTCCAGAGAGTGTCCCCAACAGTGAGGCCAGAGCCCCAGAACCCACTTACTCAGGCTCCTGTCCAAAAGAATGCCGCGGGGACGCAGGTGCCGCAGTTGCACACACATGTAACCGCAGCAGCTCCAGAGGCTGAGGCAGGAGGATTTCGGGTTCAAAGCCAGCCTCTGCCAGTGTTAGTGAGGCCCTGAGCAACTCAGTGAGACCCTGTCTCTAAATAAAATGTAATAAGGGCTGGGATGCGGCTCAGTGGTCGAGCACCCTGGGCTCAATCCTTGGTACAAAAAAAAAAAAGAAAGAAAGAAAAAAAGAGGCTGAGGGCAGTCGGGCCCAGCCTGCCCCAAGGGACGCTCCCACCTAGGCACAGCCCTGGACATGTGGCATGCCATGCCCTCGGGGACCCCCGGAGCCAACACAGACCTTCCCTGTGTGTGCTCCACGGCTCCTTTCCCCAGGGAGGCGGCCTGTGTCCCTCCAGGGGCCACTTCTCCAGGACAGAGTGACGTGCAGAGAGGGGGACTAGGAAGAAGAGGCCACGCCCTGGTCCACACTGCCCCACCCTAAGGTCATCTGGACTGTCCCATGTCCCCGGCTCTGAGTGGGCTGCCCCCAAACCACAGCACCCTGACCCGGGCTCCTTCCTCCACAGGGGGCGGGAGTGGCCGGCTCAGTCCAGCCCATGCCTTGGCACCACGGGCTCTTCTGCCGGATCCAGAACCCGGGAGGGATTCAGACCTTGCCAGGGAACAGGCCCCAAGGCCAGGTTCCAGATGTCAAGGAGACGCCACCACGTCTGAGGGCCAAGCCAGGCGGGCTCAGCCGCGTAGCCCACAGACAGCAGGCACAGGTCGCAGGCGCGTGGGCATTGCCCAGTGTCCAGAATCTAGGGCAAAAACAACCTCTGAGGCAGATGTTGGAAAAGACCTTTAAGAAACTGTCCTGTCCTGTCCCTTCCCAGGGGGAGAATGTCGGTGGGGATCTGCTGGGTTGAAGGTGACTCTGGATTTGCTTGGTGTGGCAGAAATACATGGTCAGTGAGCAAAAGAGGAAGAGAGAAGAGGGCCCAAGAGAGGTCAAAGCCCTGTGTCACAGGCTCTTCAGAACCATGGGAATGTCTCTGGCTGTCCCTGTGACTGTGACTGCGATTCTACAATTCTGAGCATGCTGTCTCCTGGTTACTCAGCAGGACCCACAGCTGGGGCCTGGTCTGGATTTGCTCAGCAGGACCACCCCACACTCACACTCCGCCTGGCCCCTGGGAAGCACTCCAGAGGCACACACTGTTGAGGGACGGTGCCTTTGAAGATGAAAGTAGCAACAAGGTGGCCCAGGGCTCTTACTGGACAGATGACCTCAAAAGTCCATTGTGGGGCAGTAGAGGGTGCTGACCAAAACAAAAGAGGAAGAAGGAAGCAGTTTAACCTCTCAGTCAGAACTTTGTGGCAGTTAGTCCTAATTAGGATGCTAATTGAACTCAAAAAACTAGGTGATGCTTGCAGTCCCCCCCATCCCCCCCCCCGCCCCAGATCTAAGATTCTGTACGTCTCTGAATCGCAGGCTCTGCCAGACCATGCAAAGGTGCTTGAAAAAGACCCTTTCTATCTCCCAAGGACTCCGTCACATTGTCAGGTCTCTCTGAGTAATTTCTTCTCTTTGGCCCAGCTATAGAAAACTCAGAGAAGCCAGGGAAGAAAAGGCTGGGGTGGGCTGAAGCCATTTGTATCCTGTGACAGTTGAGATGCAAATAGATGGTTGTGATGCAGATAGGGGGAAAAAAATCCTGCAGGCCCAGGCTGGGAAGCCAGCCCGGGACCATGCAGCTCCCCCGAGTTTCAAATTAAAGGCTGTGGCCACGTTCTGCTCTGCCCAGCAATTTGCTGTCTCCCTCGGTGTTCTGATAGCCACAGTCGATAGGCAGCACCTTCACCCACTAGGGTCCCCACCCTGTCCTCCGCCTTCTGTTTCCCGTCTGCACAGGAGGGAAGAATCCCTGGGGTGGTTGGAATATTTGCTCAGTTATTCTAAAGTCCACCCTCCTGCCCAGACTCCAGGGGGTTATGGGGGTGGGGGTGCAGGGCCTTGGGGGATCCTGCTGGCTCTGTAGCTCCACCAGGAG